TACTAAGCTCAACCAGTGAACACAGCCAACGAGTAATTAAACCACGATCACTACTTACTAAGCTCAACCAGTGAACACAGCCAACGAGTAATTAAACCACGATCACTATACTTACTAAGCTCAACACAGTGAACACAGCCAACGAGTAATTAAACCACGATCACTACTTACTAAGCTCAACCAGTGAACACAGCCAACGAGTAAACCACGATCACTATACTTACTAAGCTCAACCAGTGAACACAGCCAACGAGTAAACCACGATCACTACTTACTAAGCTCAACCAGTGAACACAGCCAACGAGTAATTAAACCACGATCACTATACTTACTAAGCTTAACCAGTGAACACAGCCAACCACTAAGATAGCTTTCATATTGCCATGAAGAGGATCGAGACATGAGATTATCAATCGATTGAGTAGAACTGATGAAAGTAAATAAATCCAGTTGTTTCGCGTGTGTGCATGACTGCTTGTTTGCGACTGTCGATAAACCCAAAATAATTTCGAGCACTACGGAAAAATCTAAAACCTACCTCCTGGACCTATACACAAACCAAGAAGAAATCCACTATAGATCCATAGATAAAACGAGTACAGTTCTACACTAGATTGAAAGACAAACCACGACAAACAATTTCAACCTAATTCCATAGACAAACTAAAAATAATCCAGTGTTGGACCTTCATAAGGTCACTACAGGTTCCTTCACCATTAAACCAAAAACCCGTTGTTAGAAACATCACAAATAATTACGACACTGTAAGACTAAAAAATCATAAAAATCCTTAAAGCAGTGTCACGCAAATGTCACAATACATTAGACTTAGAATAATAATATTTATTTCTGTTTAACATTATATTATATCATATATATATATATTAGATCGATATTATTATACACTCCTGATTACAATATTACACAATTAACTTTATTATTATATTTTTGATATTATTTTTGAGATTAGGGCCTAGGAGCGTGATGGACGTACCCAGCACTCTCTGTCCGAACAGGTTCATGGCTGACTGTAGGCGGTCAGGCCGGAGAGCCTGAACCAGCAGCACCTGCTGGAAGGCAGTCAGCTTCTGGACGACGCGCTCAGGAATCTCCTGCTCACAGTGACTGCTCTTCGAGAACTGCTTCCAGAGACCGCTGTCTCCCAGGTCAATGACCTGTGCCAGATTTGGGAACGTCGTCTGCAAGAGAAACGGCAATTCATAACGATTCTGTAGAAACACCTTTACAGAAATTCTACGCTCCAAGCACAACTAATGCAAGGCTAAGTTCAATAACGATGTTATATTGACCTCAATATAAGGGCATTAGCTAGCAACCAAAAACTAATAAACAGGAATATCAACGCAATAGCAATTAACAATAACATCAATCTAACAACGTAGGAACAGTAGCACCAGCACCGGCGCTCCTTTATACATTCAGTTCCACTTCATAGCTATGACAGGGTCAACATTATTTATAGCAAAAGATTACCGATCACATTCATTAAATTCACGATTAACTATCACATAAGGCACCTAAATCTGACCAATCTATACACTCACCGGTCACGCATTTCAGCAGTACGTTTTGATCAACACGGTTGAGTACAAATTAACCAAGATTGCTATATTATCTACCAACCGAATGAACTTATTTAATGAGTTAATTATATACACTCACCCTCAACTGATGCACCGCAGTGTTCCTACCCTCATCTATCCAACTAGGCAGCGGCTCCAATGTAGTGAACGACTTTGCATCGGCCACGGCCAAGCCGACAAACACTTCCCACTCCTGCAAAACCAACGCAGTGAAATCAAGAGGACTGTCGTAGCTTTGCCAGCGCACCTTGACCGATCGTCCGAAATCGCGTGCGAATATACACGGATGAAAGCGCTACAACAATAAAACATTGATGCTTTTTGCCCGATTGATTTTTTTGAACATTACATGCAAAAAAAAGATTAAGGCTAGACGACGGTCAAGACAAGGCTGCAATCGTGTGCTACCCAGCACCAAGCATTCGCTCGTAAGCACAAGTTTTCACTCGATGGCATAGTTTTTGTTTCCCGTACACCTTGTCCCAGCTTTTGCCACCTGACGTGGGCATCTGTTTCCATGCCCACACTTAATACCCCTGCCTTTAACCTAACGTTTAACTTACCCCACCTTTTACCTAATGTTTAACTTACCCCTGCCTTTTCTACCCGACGTGGGTCCAGTTTTCTGTGCCCACACTTACCCCACCTTTAACCGAATGTTTAATTTACCCCCACCTTTTACCTAATGTTTAACTTACCCCTGCCTTTTCTACCCGATGTGGGTCCAGTTTTCGCTGCCCACACTTACCCCACCTTTTACAACGATTACTGTCCGCCATACCGACGCCCACCCACTCGCATTCCTGCTCTTCTGCCTCAAGTAAGAGAGCCCGCCGTTGCTATGGGAACGCTGCGCTCACGTCGTCTGCTAGCCCAGCCGCACACGATCCCACAACCCCCTCGGCACGTACGTTTTCCTTGAACTCGTCCGGGTATAGACCGTGGGCCATGTGCAGCGCGAACATGAGACGGTCGGACTTGAAGAGGGAGCGGCTGATGTACTCGTAGACAAAGTACTGCAGTCTGGTGATGAGAGAGCTGATACGTGTCTCCATGTTGCCAGAGTCCTGCCAACGTGATGTCAGTGATGAGACATAGAATGCGAATGCTGCAGAATCCTTACAGAGAAAACTGTGAGACTGAGTAGTAGTATCAGCGTATCTATACAGCCAGGGGTTAATAAAAACAATTTATTTTTTACGACAAAAAACGTTTTTTTCACAATAAAAACATTCGTTCATTCTCTTCTGATACAATGTTATATATAATATCCTTACATTGTATAGATGTGCTAATGGCAGTACTAAGGACTAGTAGTCTATAATGCTAATTAAGTGTAAAAGTAAAGCAGAATGGTACTAAAGAATTGTACTACAGAATAACAATATAAATATAGTAATATAGAACAGTACTGCGGAACTGACAATGTTAAGCCAACAAGCGAGCATCCAACGTACCTGGCTTGCTTTCAGCGCCCTCTGAAACAGCCTGAGGAAGGATGCCAGGCTGAATCTGTACATGTTGTTAAGCTTGCACAGGTCTGAGATGAGGAAGAACAACGTACTGCCAAACTCTGCCAGCGGCAAGTACGCGCTTCTCTCCTACACAGAACATTGCAGCGTCGTATCATTAACACATACATACATGCAATCACACTGTACAGATATGTTCACAACATTATCATAGGCTGATTATAAAGTATCTTCACTTGTCTCCTATACAGATATATTAATTGAGTAAGTTATGATAGGCAGACTATATAGTATCTTAATTCACTTGTCTCCTATACAAAAGATATATAAGAGATCTATAGGAGATATATAGGATCGAGATATATAGGAGATATATAGGATCTATATGAGATGTAGGATCATATGAGATATATGAGATATATAGAATCTATACGAAATATAGGAGATATATACTTGTCTCCTATACAGATGTATTGATATGATAAGCAGACTATATATATATCAGGGGTTAATAATGACAAATTGACATTTGACATTTGACAATTGACATTTGACAACTGACAATTGACATTTGTCACTATTAACCCATTGATAGTATCTTCACTTGTCTCCTATACAAATATATTGATATGATAGGCAGACTATATATATATCAGGGGTTAATAAAGACAAATTGACATTTGACATTTGACAATTGACATTTGGCAATTGACATTTGGCAATTGACATTTGACAACTGACAATTGACATTTGTCACTATTAACCCCTTGATAGTATCTTCACTTGTCTCCTATACAGATGTATAATGTCGATATATATGTCAGATATATAATATATACGTGTATGTTGCAGCGCGTCGTGCGCATGTGTGTGACAGCGTGCGTGTGATAGCGTGCGTGTGACAGCGTGCGCGCGACAGCGTGTGTGTGCGTGACAGCGTGTGTGTGACAGCGTGTGTGTGACAGCGTGTGTGTGACAGCGTGTGTGTGTGACAGCGTGCGTGTGACAGCGTGTGTGTGACAGCGTGTGCGTGACAGCGTGTGTGTGACAGCGTGTGTGTGACAGCGTGTGTGTGTGACAGCGTGTGTGTGACAGCGTGTGCGCGACAGC